CAGGAATCAATGGACCCCTATAGTTTTAGTCAAGAAGATAGCGGTCTAAATGAGTGTAAGTTTAATTTGAGTTTTGACATATGTTGTATCTATTTAAATCTGCTGCAAGTAAAGCTGCTCAGAGTAGAAACAAGTGTTTAGTTTGGTCTGTATTTCTGTTGCTCCACATTCAGTCTTTCACATGGGTCTTCATATTCTGTTACCGCAGTCACTATGAATCATGTGCCCCTATAATTTAAATGTGAACAATGTACAAGCAGACTTAGCCAGTGGCTGTAGAGGAGGATTTCCATCATTGTGGTGGGACACTTTGTTGGTGCAGGATTAGCCACAAGTAGGAGACCTTCAACCTGCATTAACTACAAGTAGTATGTACTGACTAATGCTACACACATCTTTTCAAGAAAGACCTAAACTCTACTGACCGTATTTATGCCCAAACTATACACACTGTTCTAAACTGACCAGAACTGTACATAAACTTTCTATTTTCAGCAGCTTCAATGCAATTTTCATGTATATCTTTTCCAATTGGTTCTATTTTCTGAAAAGTATGATATTCCTATATTATCTGTTTGGATCTGTCCTGCTATGCTCATTCCCCGTGGGGGTACTGGAAATGAAAGCTCACCCTCCACACCTAGGGTGGTAACTTTTAAGGTGACATGTGGAATTCCTGGCTTTGTGACGTTATCATAGAACACATATTAAAGCAACAAAAGCCAGCTACACCCCTTCTCTGTAAATGATGCTACTTACACACGTTTAAACATCTTAGGAGCGTTTATTTTGGTCGTGAGCTTTAATGCACCAAATTAAAGAGCTGTATGTAGCTTGCTGTCAGGGCCGGATCTAGCCTGTCTGATGTGGGGTGCAGTAAAAAATGTCGGGGGGGCAGAGAATATGAGGTCAGTAGGGTTAGTATACAGGGGGTCAGCAGGGCAGAGGAATAGAGTAAGCAGTTTATATGGCAGACTACAGAAGCCATTAGTTTGTATGACCGTTTTTATATGGGATTATCAGAGAAGAGGACAGTGTGCAGCTGGACAGTGTAAATAGTAGGGTAGTGTACAGGGGGTGAGCAGTGTAGACAACAATGGTCAACAGAGCATATGACGGGGAACAGCAGGGTGGAAAAAAAAGGTTATCAGGTCAACAGGATGGAGGACGGGGTTCAGCAGTGCAGAAAGCAGGGGTCAGCAGGGCAGAAGACCTTGATCAGCAGAGAAGAGGACAGGGTCACTGCTGGCAGAGCACTTGGCAGATATCCTCCCCCCTCCTCCACTCTGCAAACAGCCTTCTGTACTCAGAGCTCTTCCACAGCACATACCTGAGATTGGATTCCCTTACAGACACAGCATCTATCTGCACTGTGCAGCTGGCTACAGATTGAAACTGTCTGTAGGGAAATTCAAGCAAATCTCAGCTATGTGCTATGAGGGGAGGATATGATCTGTTGAGTGCCCTCATTTCACGTCTCACCCAAAAAAAAAAAATCATCCCTCCTAGCACACGTCATAATATCTTCAAATTTCTCATCTTTGCAGAAATCCTCCCTGCCAAATCCCCCTCCCAGCACAAATCCTATCTCCCAAATCCCTCCTCCTGGCATGATCCCTTCCCATTCCCCCTCCTAGCACAACCCCCTCCAAATTACTCTTCCCAGCCCAAATCCACCCTCACCCAAGTCCCCCCAAAATTCCCCCTTCCTAACACAAATCCTCCCCAGCTCTCTCCTCCTAACCCAAATTCTCCCTCCTAGCCCAAATACCTCCTAGCCCCAATCTCCCCTCCTAGCACCTACCCAACCAAACTCCCTCCTTGCACATATTCCTTCCAAATCCCCCCTCCCCTGTTCCTAACTCTTATCTCCCCCAATCTCCCCTCCTAGTCCTAGCATATTCCCTCTCACCAATTCCCCCCAACAAGCCCATATCTCCCCCAATCTCCCATCTTAGTCCTAGGATATTCCCCCTCTCCAATCCCCCACCTCGAACATATTGCCCCAATCCCCCTCCTAATGCGTCCTCCCCCCACCTAATACATTCCCCCCCCCCCCAAACACATCCCAATACCCCCTCCTAGTCCTAGCATATTTCCTCTTCCCCCCGCACATATCCCCCTTATTCCACCTAATAGCACATATCCTCCGTCCTGTCTATCACTGCTGCTGTCTGAGCTTTACTAATCACAGTTCACTGCACCAGGTTGCACATTCAAGTTGGGATGAGGAAGAAACTCGGGCAGCTGGGGGGGGGGGGCACAGCCCTCCCCAGCACCCCCCTAGATCTGGCCATGCTTGCTGTGTAGATACTAGATGGCCAAGAGTGAAAATGATGCATATGCAGACCGCTAAAAATCTGGTTTGCTTTCATATTAAAAAATCCACTTGTATATTAATAAACCATGGCATTCTACAAGTGATTTTTAAACCCAAACAAATGTCTGCATTTAATTTCTAAATAAATTCCTTTTTTAGCTGTAGCGCTGTCTCAGCGTGTGAGGACTCCCAGAAAGATGTCTGAAAGTCAAGGCGAACTCTTCCCCAAGAGTTCATTAAGTCTGAGCAGGTAGATAACATTTTATTTGCCTCATTTTATAAAGATTGTTTCAGATTAAGATTCAGCATTATACTTTTAGTCCCCATCTTGATGGCACCCCAGTCTTAGTCTGTAGGGTTCAATATTGAGTTGGCCAACCCTGTGCAGCTATAACAGCTTCAACTCTTCTAGGAAGGCTGTCCACAAGGTTTAGGAGTGTCTCTGAGAATGTTTGACCATTCTTCCAGAAGCTCAAATGTGAGGTCAGGCATTGATGTCGGTGAGGGGGCCTGGCTCAGTCTCCACTCGAATTCATCCCATAGGTGTTCTATCGGGTTGAGGTCAGGACTCTGTGTAGGCCAGTCCAGCTCCTCCATCCCAAACTCGCTCATCGATGTCTTTATGGACCTTGCTTTGTGGACTGGTGTGTAGTCATGTTGGAACCAGAAGCTGCAAGTGGCAATCCATCCACAAACTGTTCCCACAAAGTTGGGAGCAAAAAATTTTCCATAATGTCTTGGTATGTTGACACCCTAAGAGTTCCCTTCACTGGAACTGAGGTGCTATGCCCAACCACTGAAACAACCTGAAACCATAATGCCCCCTCCAACAAACTTTACACTTGGCACAATGAAGTCAGGCAAGTACTTGTCTCCTGGCGACCTGCAAAACCCAGACACATCCATCGGACTGCCAGACAGAGAAGTGTGATTGGTCACTCCAGAGAAAACATCTCCACTGCTCTAGAGTCCAGTGGTGGCATGCTTTACACCATTCACCCAACGCTTTGCATTGCACTTGCTGATGTACGGCTTGGATGCAGCTGCTCAGCAATGGAAACCCATTCCTTGAAGCTCTCTATGCACTGTTGTGCTAATCTGAAGGCCACACAGTTTGGAAGTCTTTAGCTATTGACTCTGCAGACAGTTGGCGACTTCTGTGCGCTTCAGCATGCGCTGACCCCACTCTGTCGGGTTTTTTTTGTGGCCTACCACTACGTGGATGAGTTTCTTTTGTTCCCAGTTGCTTCCACTTTGTTACAATACCACTAACAGCTGGCCATGGAATATTTAGTAGCAAGGGAATTTCATGAATGGACTTATTGCACAGGTGGCAACCTATCACGGTACCACGCTTGAATTCAATGAGCTCCTGAGAGTGACCCATTCTTTCACAAATGTTTGTAGAAGTAGTCTGCATGCCTAGGTGCTTGATTTTATACATCTGTGGCCATGGAGGTGATTGGAACACCTGAATCCAATGATTTGGAGGGGTGTCCCAATATTTTTGGCAATATAGTGTATGTGGAGTAAGACTAGGCTCTTTTCTGAGTCTGTCTGTTCTGTTTTTTTTCTGAGTTTGCACTGGAGTATTTTTTTTAAATATCAGTTGTTCTGCCACTAGACACTCTTTTTGGTATCATGACAACACTCCTTGTGCAGTGAAATCACTGTAGCAATGCCCCCTTTGTGCTGCTGTAACTGCTTTGGCACTGCTGGTACACCTTGCTCTGCCCACAGCCATGCATAATCTCTTGCACCCTCTCCAGCAATATCTAGCACATTACATGAGAAATCTAGCTGAATTTCCCCATTAAGAAGTAAATTGGGTTTTTTTTTTTTATTTTGATGACATCTTTCATTGACAATGCGTTTCTATTACTAGAAGCTTAGATGAATGTGAATATAAACATTAAGGACCTCCAGTTTAAAAATACCAAGATCAGTATTAGGATTTGTTCAGAAGGGTGCTAACACCCCTCCTATGTTCAGGCTTCCTTTGTTTATTGTGCCTGTATCTGCCCCAAGTTACATGAAAGCAGCCTGTAAAGGTGAATGCAGATGCAGCAAACACAACCGCACGTCAAAATTTGACATATTGGCAGGAGCACTGATCAGATGCACACGGTCTGAGTTCAGATCTGTGCAAATGCTCCTCTTTGCATGCCAAATTTTTTACTTGTGGCTGTGTCTATGCAGCCACTGCATCTGCATTCACCTCTATAGGCTGCCTGCTCACATCCTGGGGTGGATGCTGGCACGCAATAACAAAGGGATGGGTACACGTAGGATGGGTGTCTGCACCCATCTGCATGAACCCTTATGCCTAGTACGCACTATGTGAAAATCAGACGAATGATCGTTCGATTTTCTATGAAGTTGTGTAGTTAACTTGTATGAAAAACCGACAAAGGCACATGTAGCTATATACTAGTGTAGTAGAGGAGGAAGTATGGGGTTGTTTTTTTCTATTTGATTATTTACGTATGGTTAATGTACACATTGAGGTTTTCTAGCTTGCACCTTCAGTTCGGCTGTCAAAAGCACTATACTAATGATCAGATAATTGAGTGATTGTTTTTCATATGGACATTTTTCATTTTCCTATCATGTGTACGGGCCTTTAGACTACATTCGCACAGGCATTTAGTCATGCTATGAATTCCAGTGTCAAGATTCT